AACAACAACAACAACAACAACAACAACAACAACAACAACAACAACAACAACAAAGGTTTAATATTAAGAGGAGCACTGATGTTTTTAGTTTACGTTAATATGCTGTATTTTGATATTAAAAGAGTTAGTGTTAATAATGTGTTGTATAAAACAAATCTAAGTATTTTTAACTAACGATGAATGAAAATTACATACTTAAAATTAACGATCACATAAATTAACATTAATTAAATTGACGCGAATTTTTAAAATCCGCGTTAATAAAGTGCATCGTTAATTTCCTATAATAAGGTACTTTGATTTTGTACTTGAGTAAAAGTAGAAGTAATTAACAATAAAACGACTTAACTAAGAGTACAAAGTACTGGTGGCAAAACGAACTTAATTAAAAAGTACAAAGTATCCTTAAAAACACTTGAAGTAAAAAGTAAAAGTAAAACCACTACTGTCTGTAGCGTGTAGGGAGGGGGGGGGAGTTAACTCCAATGGATTGATCGCATGACATACAAAAGACACAAAACAGCACACGTGCACCTAATATACAATATTTCACGGCATTGTCTATTCTCCAGACTCCGCAGAAGATATAAGAAATTCATTAATAAATAATGTTATAAGTAAGCCACAAACAAAATATCTATTGAATTTGTAGTCGTGTTTGAAGCCGTTTAATAAACTCACAAGTCGTGTTTTATTAGGTCTAAAGCAGGGCGCTTATATAGAGGGCGGTGAAACGCGCTGATGTCGTGCTGATCGATGTGTGATGCGGAAAAGGACTGGCACGAGCGTGCTTTTCGGCAAAAGTTGACAAGAATCGTGATTTTTCCTGCTGTTGTATATTTGCTGTTTTTTCATTAACTACGAAATTCTTAAGGATGTTTTTGCACTGTAACGACGAAGTAGTAACTAGTGTATCGTACGAATGCTTGTTTGGCCTGTATAGTTGAATTTTGAAAGAAATATTGAGGATAATGAGTCGGGCTTTTGATGACTTCAATGAAGGGAAATTTTCAAAACAGCATTTGGACATGTTATCAAGTCGTCCAAACTTCGAAATTCAGTTGATGGTAAAGATTATAATTATGTGCTTATCTCCAAAAGTTTTCATAAGACTCGGAGTTGAGCATTTGAATACACAGCGTTGGAAAGTGAGGTATTTTTGTGTGTTAAATTTTGCCTAATTAGACCATTATTTCGCTGCAAAAAAATAAACAACAATTGTATTTTGGGCATGTCGTGATTTTTGGTTATTATGTTAATAATTTTGTACGACTTTTAAGGCATTCAATTGAAGTAATTCTGAGCCGTAAACATATTTTACTCCCTGGCCTTTGAATCAAAATACGACTCGCTCGGACGTTTGTTGAGCGCAATAGTCGAAAAAGTTTCGTCCCAACTTTGATTTTTTTTGACCGGCTGGCCAAGACAACTTCTCGTAAGGATTCGTTAAAAAAATACAAATTCAAGTTGAGCATTTCTTGATTTTCAACTGAAAAGATCAACTAGTGGCTAAAATTAATTGTGAATTGTATTCTATCGAACGTGAACGATACGTGTACATCCGAAGAGTTTTAAAAGCCTTTCACGTCATGCTTCTTGCGAAAGCAACCGTTCGTAAGCTTTCGCAAGCGTTTTGAGCAAAAACTCTAAAATATTGGCAGTATTGCCTGAAAATACAATAGCAGAATCTACTAAATTATCGTATAACATCGGAATTTTACCCCCAATATCTATTTCTTCATCAAAACTTGACTACAAAACAGTCAAAACTTCCAGCTCAGTTTTCCCGCCATATTTATCCTTGCCATATAAGACAACGTCGCTATAGTAACCACAACAAACTCGTTACCAGTTCATTGCATCACACATCGATCGGCGCGCCTATAGCCGTTTCACCGCTCTCTATATAAGCGCCCTGGTCTAAAGCCACTAGCGCGCGCTGCGCGCTTGTGTCTTTAATTTAAACCTAATAAAACACTCCTGCTCGTTTATTAAACTGTACATAAAAACACGATATGCTGTATTAATAATTGCCCAAAATATTAATTAAAGGATATTATTAATCACTGCTTTTATACAATTTCATGTAAATACCAGTTTGCATAAAAACATATTATTTACTGAGTTAATTAAGAATGCGTAAAAATTTCGCAACTATATGAATGAAATTGAAAAGGCACAAAGCAAGTTAACGGTATGGAATTTTAATACTGAAATGTTTATAGCACTTACCCAAGTTCCAAACATAGCCAAGACAACGATTAAGTTTATTTTTAAAAAAACACCTGGTTCTTCTTCGACAAAATTCGTATTTATGCATGCCTTTCACACTTTATTTCACGGTTGGCAGCCACTAATTCATGAAATTGCAGCACAGTTAAAAGCGAAATACATCGCAAAAATATACTGAAAAATAGAAAAATACATCTTTGCAAAATGAAAAGCAATTTTTGTAGTGCGAGCTTGTACTCGCGCACGCGCAAACCGTCGAAGACCGTCCATCACATAATCACAAGAATAAGAAGATACATCAGAAGTGTAACTCGAGTCGTCTCCCTTATAGTTTTACGTCCACGAAAATTTTAACTCGCTCACGCCAATCCACGCCATCCCGGCTAGTACAACCGGAAGTTTTTGGTAGGTACAAAGTGCCGGTTGTACTAGCCAGGATGGCGTGATTGATGACGAATCGCTTGTAAAAACGCGGACATATACTTGCTTGAGTTACGCTTCTGCTGTACCTTCCTATTCTGTGACATAATGGAGGACAACTTTGCACTTCGCTATGTTCTCAAACACCCGGGTGTAAATAGCCTGGTGGAATTAGTGCCCTCGCGCGCTTTGTACCGTTGGCTCGGGGATTAGTTATTTTAGGCATAATTAGCAGTTTACCTGGGGTGGTGCATGGTCATTTCCTTGTAAAATATTATACTTAGACTATATTTTTCCTTCCAATGACCACCCCTAAAAGCAACCCTTCTAAACACTATAAGCACTTCAGAAAGGCTGTCACTTTTGCTTTTCGGCAGTCAGAGGGATCTCTGCACTGCCGTTTCAGGGCGGGGTCATTTTCACGACTTTCTTCCCAGATTCAGTTTTTGGCACAGATACCATGTTGACCGCCATGGTCATTTTACCCTAAACAGTTGAGATTACCTGTGCTAAATAAAACACATACAAACTCCTATACAGGGCCTAGACTATAACTACAATTTTAGTTTGTTCTGTGCATGAAAACAAATACTGTCTATATAGGGTTTCTTATAATGCTTAATCAAGCTAAATTATTAGTTTGTCGGCAAAAGGAAAACAATTTTCGGTCATATACCAAACCGATTGACCTAGTCATAGCAAGGCACGGGCTTTAGGACAAATTTAATTTGACAACAATAGTATTCTATCTAAATAGCAGTTAAAATAAAGTGTACGGCACCTGAACTGTTCAATATCTTACTTCAAAAATCCATAAAACATTTACATATATGCAAATACTGTATATTTTCAAAATTCGCCATAATTACATTAGAACCCAAGCTTTCGCGGTTCACACGAAATATTAACGTCGGTGATTTTCACTAATAACAAGAGGGTAGGATTAAAGTGGGCATTGTCACTCGCTAACCCAATCAGCTGTCTGGGTTCTGTACCACGTGACCTGTTCAAATCGTTCAAAGCGGGAGGAATCTTATGACATCATAACGGCTTCAATAAAATATTTTGGGGACACGTTTGTGCCATATAAGGAAGTTGGGCACACGTTTGTGCCATATATGGAAGCATGGTTTCCTCGCGCTTCGAACGATTGAACAATTGAATGATCCTACCCTCTTATTATTAGTGAAAATCACCAACGTTAATATTACGTGTGAACCGCGAAAGCTTGGGTTCTAATGTAAATAAATATGGCGGATTTTGCGGAAAACATACAATATTTGCAGAGCAGTATTTGCATATATGTAAATGTTTTATGGATATAGAAGCAAGATATTGAACATTTCAGGTGCCGTACACTTTATTTTAACTGCTATTTAGATATAATACTATTGTTGTCGAATTGAATTCGTCCTAAAGCCCGTGAGCAAGGTTGACTAGTGGAGTCGTCCGTAACTGGCACTGGCAGAGAAAAGCCTTTACTCCGATAGCTTTGGTAAATTTTGGAGTGTTTGGTAATTATGTGACATCTATTGAACTGAATAAAACTGGAACACTAATTTGAACTCGAAATTTGAAGTCAACCGGGAGAGTCCGTCCCAGTCTGTTCAAAGAAGCGAAGTGCGCTGTCAATTGCATGTTCATACGTTACCAATATAAAATTAACTATAGAACCTTGATTTCGTTTGAAAAAGAATTTTTTTTCTTTCGTACAGTACGTATATTGTGAATCTTGCCAGCTTTTTCAGTAAAACAGCAGAAAACGGTATGGCTTCAAATGTGGTTTCGCGAGAAAGACGCGGAACATAAACACGCGCGATCTGACCGCCCAGGAACGCGTGTCTTTACATCAGATTTGGCTTGAAGGAAAGATAAGCAGTTTATCTGAGGCGTTCCAGTTATATGTATTTCAATGACATGACAATTTCATGACAAAGCCAACCGAGTAGAGGGCATACGTCTAGGCTGATGTACCGCTACTCTAACTTGTCACTCTGTTTCTTGGAACAGAATTTTGGACTAATTACTTGCAATGTTAATTGTGTTGGTGTATACAAGATTTTTAACAGTATTTTCAGACATTGGAAAAAATGCAAAAGAGCTTGTAGATTCAGTTGCAGGCAACTGTTCGTCAGGGGAAGTCATCTCACAATTTCGTTTTCATTACATTAAGTTTCGCCGCTCATTAAAAGCTTTTGCGCCCCCTAAAAGCCTTTGCATATGGAGAATGGTGGGCATGGTTCCCTGTCCCTCTGTCAGCACGCCGCTGTGTGGAGTGCACTCAAATACAGTAGGAAAGATGAGGAAAAATGTCAAAAAGTTTGTAATGATTCCTTCGTTACTTACAGGTTCAGCTGCTATTTTGTTACTGCTATTGAGCTGTTGGAATGCCTTCGCTTTTTGCGAACAAGGAATGAATACTTGGACAAAATTTTGGTGGTGGAACGCAGGAACAACTTGGCCTACAACGGTTAAGGATGTGTTAGAAAAAGTATATGGTACGTGTAACACTTCAGACTATTGCTTTCAACGGTTGCCAGGCTGGACAAGAGAGAACAAAACCGAGTTACTGGCTGTTGATTCTCTGGGAACAATCTATCAATGGAAATTTAATCCCAAAAACCCAACTGCGCATGCGGTGTGGCAAGCTCTTCATGATCATCAGGAAACTGCTGCGAAAAAGGTACTATATAAAACATTGAAAAGACTTTGGGGAGATATATCGTATATATCGTATAGATAGTATATATCGTATAGATAGTATATATAGTATAGATAGTATATATAGTATAGATAGTATGTATAGTATATAGTATAGATAGTATAGATAGTATATATAGTACATAGTATATAGTATATAGTATATAGTATATAGTATATAGTCTATAGTATATAGTATATAGTATATATATATATATATATATATATATATATATATATATATATATATATATATATATATATATATATATATATATATAT